GTTTAATGAAAACTGGATGATACAAGTTGAGTAATACTTATCCAGAATGTATGAAACCTGAACTGTATTTGCATATTTGCATATAGTAAGATATCTTGAAGATGGGACCCAAGTCTAAACAACATTAATGAATGTCTCATACATGCCTTATAACCATAATCTGAATATCACTATATACAAAATATTTGTATTAATTTTTTTCATGAAACAACATTTTTGTGCATTGAACCACCAGAAAGCAAAGGCTTTACTATCTCAGCCACACATGTGAACAATTCTGGATATTGGAACATTTCAGTTAAGGGGTGCTCAACCTGTATTCGATGAGAGAAGTAATTTGCCATCCACTGCAAGTACCTGCAAGGAGGCACAATGAATAACTATTTGCCTGCCAATGTTGAGCCACAATCCAACACCTTCCAACACCTCATCAAGTCACACTCTTTAGGTCTTAGAAGAAAACAATGGAATAATGTTATGATAGGGCTACCTTAAGTCAGAGTTGACCTGACTGTATGCCAGTGTAATAAAAGACAAGCCCCCACCCCCCAAGGAAAAAAAATGGAGGGTTAGCTGTGTATGTGCTTGCATTAGAAAATGCAACCTCTGAGAAAATAGAACTGCTTCTGCAGCTATTTCTATGCAACTATAAGGCCCCAAAGGATTCTAGCTCACATCTCCTTGATTGGGGTAGCAGAGGGAGGGGAGCAGGCATTGAACAGGGCTGTACAATTTCTGGAGTAAAGGTTCAATATCAGACCCTTCTGGGTTGTGTTGTTCTGCTGCCACCACCAAGTTTCACACATTTCATGACACAGCAGGGAAGGGGAACAGGGATTGTGATAATCAACAGCAAATGCATGCAGTCATGTGTGTTCCATTCCTATTTTAAAGACTGGTTTTGGGAACTCCTTCACTGAGTAATATAAATTACTAGAGAACCAGTATGTGCTAGATGTTCTTAGATGTCCCTCTGGGAAAACTATATGCAAACTTTTTCTCATCAGCAAAGCACTGGGTGACTTGGAGACTGTCATTTCATCCAAGACATCGTCAGAGCTGCCAAGACTGCAGTATTACAAAGTAAAGGATTCACAAGGGAAGGACTTAACCATGTCCACCGCTGGTGAGATAAAAATCTGGCAATGGGACTAATTTTTAGAAAGTTTTTAAAAAGCTGTGTGAGATCCTAAATCTGTTGGGGTCCTTGTGCCGGAGGAAGCATAAACCATTCCTTGTGGTATTTCCCAATCATGAACCTACAATTTTATCCAACATTCGAGCAATAGGAGATGGAATGTTATAGACCAGGGTCCTCAAACGTTTTAAGCAGAGGGCTGGTTCACAGTCCCTCAGACTGTTCAGGGGCTGGACTATAGTTTGAAAAACACATGATCAAATCCCTATGCACACTACACATATCTTATTTTTACTGCAAAAAACCATGAAAGAACAATACAGTATTTAAAAGGAAGAACACTTTCAACTAACATAAACTTACCAGTATTTCAATGGGAAGCGTGGGCCTGATATTGTCTGAGATAGTCAAATCAATTAGGATTGTTGTTCTTGTGTGCCTCCAAGTCATTTCAAACTTAAAGTGATCCTAAGTCTAAAGTTTAGGACAGGAGCTAGATAAATGACATTGGAGAGTCACATCCAGCCCGTGGGCCTTAGTTTAGGGACCCCTGGTATACACAAAGAGAATAGGGCAGGGAAAGGGAGATACCCTTCTGAATGAGTTCTCTCTCTGTGTGTGTTTATGTATGTGTCTTCAAATTGCTTGTCAAATTATGGTGACCCCAGGAATTTTGTAGAGTTTTATTTGGCAAGAAATACTTAGAAGTGGTTTTGCCAGCTATTTCCTCTGACATCTACAGCACGTAGCATTCACTGGCAGTGTCCCATCCAAGTACTAACCAGGGCTGATCACGTTTAGTGTCTAAGATTTGGCAAATTTTGGGATATTTGAGCATTTGCTGCTGTTTTAGTCTGAGGACCTTATAGCCAATAGTAACAGATATCAGCTGTGTAGTTTATATGGATGTATGTCCAAGGTTTATAGAAGTATTCAAGGTGCTGAAAGTGGGATAGATTTCAGCACCTTGGATAGCTTAGGAAACTAGCAGCAAAAATTCCCATGGCAATAAAAGTCACTGACAAAGACATTATGGCTTACATTTTGTGGAATGGAAACTACTTTATTAAATGTGCCAGAATAGTTATAGTTTCACAACAGCTTGGCACATCTGCCCTTTGGGAATATGTGCTCCTGGATGTATATGGGTTTGTTTTTCAGGGAAGGGTGCTCTGAAAAGTTATTAATTTGCTCATTGTTGTCTGGATCCCTTATGGCAGTTGTTTAGCAAATAAACATTGTAACTGCTGTGTGATTGAAGTTTTAATTACCAAGCAATTAGCATTCCATAGTTTTAGTGCAGAACAGTTGCATGTGGTTGGTGAAGCCCCAGGAGCATAAGGTGCACCATCTTAGGCACAGGAATGGAATACCAATGAGAGCAGATGCTTAAAAGAGATGCAGATCAAAGGATTGCATTGCCACCCACCTTCCAGGGATGTTGTGATGCTAAAACAGGGAATGTTAATCTTCCGTATATGACATCATGAACTCTTGGCTTTAAGGGCCCAGCTAAAGACTGGGTTAGGAAATTAAATTAAAAATGAAATCTCCCTTCCAAGATATAGCTGATAGCACTTTAACTGCTAGAATGCCATCCCATGGAATCCTGAGATTTGCAGTTTGGTGAGGTAGTCAGAATTTTGAACTTTGAATCTCCTGAACTGTAGCACCAGATACTCTATGGCAGAGAATAAATATGACCTCCTCAGACCACAGATCCCAGAATTCCATAAGAAGCACAGTTGTTAAAGTGACATCAGACTGATATAATTGCATAGTGTGTGTGCGTGTGCATTTCCAGTGTCTTGCCAGCTCACATCTATGGGGGCAAAGAGAAGGCTTTCCCCCATCACCTACATTTTCCTCCTATTTTCTCTCTCCTTAACATAATAGTGATGGGGTTCATAAGTATCTGATCCAAAGCCATGTAGACAAAGTGAGGGGTTTTGGATCCAGCAGATCCAAAGACTCTTCTAAAAACTGCCCTAGAGCATCCTGTTTGGGACCTTTGTGCTGGCAGGAACACAATGGATGTTGGATCTTCATCCAATGATCTTTTCACAAGCATATCTATTTCCCATAGGCATCCCGCATATTAGGATGCCTTGCCTTGATGGGGAAGTGGTTTCATATTCATAAAGTGGATCTAAGTTTCATCCTACATTGTTCTCAGCCTTCAGCAGAGATTAGGATTACATGAAAGCATTATATGTGAAAAGTATCTAGAGGTTTAGTAAACTGCATGCTAAACATGAGTCAATGGTTTGATGATACGGCCAAAAATGCAATGCAATTCCAAGCTGCATTAACAGGAGTTCAAGTTTACTGATCAAGAGAATAATACTGTCACTCTATTTTGCTTTGATCAGATGTCACCTAGAATACTGTTTCCAGTTCTGGGCACCATAGTTCAAAAAGAATGGTTGGAATTCACCAAGACAATTATGAATCTGTAACCACCTTCAATCTGTAGTTTCATATTTGTCCTCCCACCCACACCTACCCCTCACCCCTACTTACTGGACAACAGCCATTGTGATTGATGGAGTTCTTTAACCAGCTTTTAAACAGAGATTGGATGATCATAACATCTAGGGTTGCCTTAGATGGCCCTTGTGGTCCCTTCCAATGTTATAACTCTATTATCATGTACTGATGGTAACAGCTTAATAGATTGACCCCTAAAATTAAACCAGACAGTGAAATGACAGAAGTGAGGCCAGAGTGGAGGACCTGGATGAACCCAGATGGTCCTAGATGAACCCAGCAGAACAGCAGAAGATCTAGGGCAGCATCTGAAAGAACAGGTCAGCCCTAGAAGTAATGTGTTACAGTCACATAATGAGCGAATAATATTCTTTCTGTAAAATAATGCAATTACTGTAATAACATTGTATTTTTTTCATGCAATGAATAGCCTTTACTTGTTACTTTTTCTTATTACTTTTGGAGTGGACAATGCTTTTAGGTATGCTGATTTTTTTCATGTGTTATACCATGTGCTTACTTTTTCAGATGGATTTCCTCCCAAAGAAAAGGAACTAAAAACATTGAAATGAGTAGCATAGCATTTGCTAAAATATTGCATTATTTGTATTGTATTTGAGGTGCTTGATACTGAGATATATAATGTGTTATTTTTAAAAAGTAGCTTTCCTAGCTGAAATCTTGGGCAAAATCCAACAGAGTACTATGGAAGGCCAATAAATTTCCATAGTTTAAAGGGCATTCTGTTGCATTCTTATAAATGTTAATTTTAAAAGAGCAAGTATGTTTCAGTGGTTTAAATGTTGGTCTATGACTCTGGAGACCACTCAGCCATGGAAACCTACTGGGTGTGGGTTGTTGTAGGTTTTTTCGGGCTATATGGCCATGGTCTAGAGGCATTCTCTCCTGACATTTCACCTGCATCTATGGCAAGCATCCTCAGAGGTAGGGTGTTTGTCCCAAAAAAAACCTACAACAACCCAGTGATTCTAGCCATGAAAGCCTTCGACACTACTGGGTGTGATTCCCAGTGTGGCTTGCTCAACTCTTAGAGGAAGGCAAAGGCTCACACTGAAGAAATCTTGCCTAGAAAGCCCCATGATCATCTTAGCGTTGCAATAGGTTAAAAATGCACAAAAATTACAAGGAGAAGATGAGATACTTTTGGCTGGAAAATAGGGAATGAGAAACTATAGTGACAGGTATTAATTTGACCAAAGGTCACATGCTAGATTTGTTTTTACATTTAGTCAGCAACTATAGCTTAAATTTTCTATCTGGCTGACTGTTGTGCAAAATATGAGATCTTTCACACAAGAGGCGAGTGACTTATTGCACAATGACTACTGTTAATCTGTTTCTTACCCTCCAGCAATGCTTTTTCCATCTGCTCAGCGAGTAAAGAGATCCTCAGCAGCTCTTCTCAATCCAGTGCTTCAGAAGTCTCAGGATGATGTGGACCTTCTCTTTGAGGTTTAGTATGAATGAAAAAACATTCCCATTATTTCTTTGTAGAGATCAAATTGATTACTCAATAATAATAATTTTATTATGACAATTACTCTTAATCAGAGATGCACAGATTCTGTCCATTTTTGAAGGCTTCTCGCTGCAATTCAAACATCTCTCAAATCTGTTTAAATCAGACCATTTCATTTGCAGATTTTATCCAAATCTGAAGCACACCCCATACTCTGCATAATTATATCTCCAAAGTCGCAAAGATCGGTTTCTCTATCCACTGCTCCTGTGCAGAAATCAGATTTCTAGTACAGAAAACACTACTTTAGGCACGATAAATATTTTTTCCATGCAGAGAACAGGATTTTTGTGGGAAAACATATGTTCTTCTGTGCAGCATAATTTAGAACAATGGCTATGCCTTTGTGTGATACGTGATTGTATGTGTTGTATTTAATAATGTATAATATTTTATCGGGGAGGGTCAATTTTAATGTTTTATACTGTTTTTATTGATGGCATTGAATTGTTGCCAACACTGTGAACTGCTGTGAGTCCCTTTCAGGGTTGAGAAAGGTGGCATACAAATACCACAAACAAACAAACAAACAAACAAATAAATATTTGTCCTCATATCTACAGACAAATTAGTTGAGGAATTACACTTCTATTCCACATACCCCTTTATCTCTTAATCTATGATATGTGAGAATGAAATGTAACCAACATTTATTCCACTCTGTGTTTCCATCCCAGTTTCTTCTAGGTGAGCTGGAAATCAGTGATGACTTGAAGATATCTGTCAGAGATGAGGAACTTGCTTCCATGAGGAAGGCAATGGCATTTGATACTTTGTGTAATGATGTCATCCCCAAAAGTATCCCAGAAATTCGCAGGCTCAGTGCCAGGCTATCAGGCAACCCTGGCATGCTCAAGAAAGAAGATTTTGAAAGGACCGTGTTGACCATGGTCTACACTGCATACAGAGCTGCTAAATCCCAAGGACACCAGAAAGATACATGGGCTGAATCCTTTGTGCACCTTTACAAAGCCCTGAAAAATGACTTGATATTCTCATCCAGACAAACACCCTCATCTCAAAGAACTTTGTAGACCAGAACCTCAGTTCAATAGGAAATCCATCTGCCTCTTTGCTTGGTATTAAAAGCAAGAAGTTAAGGATTGTAGACATGGAAAGATTCTTTATTCTCGAGCTCCTCCTAGAGGGTACCTGATGTAAAATCATCTCTGTGCAAAAAACATGGTTCTACTGATTTCTGTTACAGATACCTACACATTTTTCATCTGAATTCTTTTTCCTGGATTTGGGTACACCCAATTACCTAGTCTTGTTTCTAATCAAAAAGCATGTTCACTGTTCTAATTTTTGTACAGAGCACATTTCATTTGGTCTTTGCAACGGCTGAGAGAGAAACAAGTTCTTGAAAGGTCTATTCAGATTTATGTGGAAAGAAACTTTGTTTTCATGGCATCATTTTTACAGCTAACCTGAAGTCCTGGAAATGTGCCTTCACACATACTCTAATGTTGTAGAATACAATAATTCTCTGTATCAATGCTGAGACCCACAAAACACACTTCACCTTCCTAAGGCTGGCCAAAATATTTCACTACCTGAGACAAATAATAAACTAATAATAAACTTTATTTGTACCCCACCACCATCTCAAGAGGGACTTGGGGTGGCTCACAAAGCACTCAAAGGTGCAACCATACAAAATACAGAAAAGGTGAAAAGCAACAATATAAACAATAAACAACCAATATAAACATCACAACTTCACAATGGTTAAAATCAGTAAAATACAGCAATAGTTGCAGGTAAAAAAATGACAGTAGTCAGTCTCAGTCTTGTAAAGTCCTTGATAAAAAATCTATAGGTCCTCACATATATTCATTAAAGAAATCTAAATATGGTCAAAGGCTTGTTGAAAAAACCATGTCTTCAATTGTGTACGGAAGGCACTGATTATTGAACAATATCCTACACCACATCCTGAGATGGCAAGTCAGTGAATGAAGTCAAAAGCAGATTAGGGACCTCTTCACACATACCTTATTTTCAGAGGCTTGATGGTATTTTTGGACTTCAGCCATGGAGTCCAATCACACACCAGATAACTACTTCCGGGGTGACTCCATGGCTGAAGTGTTGCTGCTGCCAAAAAAATGGCAATGGCGGACAATGGCAGGCTCCTTGTCTTTCCATAAGGAAAGACGGGTTGAGTTACCGAAAAAAAAGGCTTTCCCCTGTGTGATAAGGAAGAGGGGAAGCTGCAATGAAATGGGCATGGGGCAACAGGTCCCATGCCCCCTGCACAATCACCACCAGAGGGTGGTGATCCACCACAACTTTGGTGGCAAGTTGGACAAGGTCCTATGTAAGAATCACAGATATGTTCTCTTAGGCCCCTTCCACATTGCCCTATATCTCAAGGCCTGATCCCAGATATTTGTTTATCTCAGATTATCTTGCAGTGGAGACTCATATAATTCAGTTTAAAGTAGATAATCTGGGATCAGATCCTTGGATATAGGGCAGTGTGGGAGGGGCCCCTAGACAGGACTGTAGCCGGGGAGGGGGGGGGGAAGGATTCTATCCTCCCCCAAAGTGTTCTTACCCCCCCCCCAAACCTGGTTTACTCAAGAATTTTAACTGGTTAACCAAGTTATGAGTAAACCAGGTTTCTTTTTTAACCTGACACATTTCAGGGCAGGGTTGAGCTTTTAACCCCACCCTTCCTGCTACAACCCTGCCCCTAGATCCCACTGTTCTCCCACAGTTTGCCTTAAGGATAAGCCATTCTTTTCCTTATCCTTATAGAGCAACAGTGAGGAAAGTAACAAAGAATAGATATATGAGAAAATGGGAGGGTGAACACTTGTCCCATCACATCCCACCCCTCCCTTTCTCTGAAATGCTGGGTAGCCACACACAAGGACAAAAATCCAATAAGAATATAGTACTCTTGAAGGCCACAGTAATTGTTTTGGGAAATCCTGATGCTTACGGAACATTTTCTGGTTAAGCCACACTTATTCAATCTCTTTCTCTCATTCTCTCTTTGTCTATACTCTAGAGCTGTTTATCCTGAGGAATAAATTACTCTTACTTATGACAATGGATCCTTCCTTACTCTCTGAAAATGGTGTAAATGTGTGTAAAACAGAATGACTGTTTTGTACAAGTGCAGCAAGGATCCAGAGAGACCTTGTTTGTATGACCTGTCTTGAACCATGTTTACATGACTGAAATATAGCAGACTCATATTGCTGTGAGGAGTCCACATGATATTTCCCTGCATACAGTGGGGAGAAGGAATTTGTTTCCTACAGATTATTTGGAAGCTGTTTATTTCTCTGTCCTAAAACAATAGCACACTCACAGACTGAAAATGCCCAAGCAGAGTCGCTATCCTGATATAGCTCTTAGCCTAGAGTTGGCTCTGTGTGGGCTCAAGACATCTGCTTAGCAAAGATAGTTCTAAGTCCCTAGTAGTCAATATGTCATTATTGCATGGTTCCTAACCTTTTCTGCCTTGTGACTGAGCAGTTCCCCACAGAGTGCATCAGTGTCCTGTGGAATTTCCTGGAGGATAGATAGATTAGTTGGGGTCACATCAGTTCAGCCAATTGGCAAGGCAACTGATTTTGTTTGTCTATTGAGCTACAGAGGAACCTGATAACTTAATTGTGGGCCCAGAGTCAAGTTGGGAGTTAATACATACAGTGTGAGCTTGGGATACTTTCCAGGACCCTGTGGATACCTGAAACCATGGACAATAGATTTGGAGGACTCAAAGAAGCTCACAAACACATCTGAGGAGGGGAGATATTTTATTGGAGTGTGGATAAGTGAAATTGTGGGTATTGGAGCAGTGAATAAGAGAGTTGTACTGTACTTTACTCAGAATGATGAGACTTTACATGAACTCAGGGTTGGCAAGCAAGGTGTCTTCACTTTGCATAATTATATAATTTAATACCACTTTTTATGCCATGATGCCATCCTACAGAATCCTGGGATTTGTACTTTGATGAGGAACTTAGATTTCTCTTCTCAAGAGCTTTAGTGCACTCCCTAAATAACAGTACAAGAACATTCTATCACATAATTCTAAAAACCTCATGATAGTTCAGGATTCAGAGTGCTATTACTATGCAGTATGAGTACACCCTTGGTGTCCTCCAGCTGTTTTGGAATCCATCTTTGCATATTAGTTAGAAAATTAATGAATACAGTGACTTGGTGAAGTCATCCATGCTTGGGTAGAGGTTGGACGATGGGCAAAGTAACGGATGGGCATCATGTAACCACTGCTTACTTCTGCATTTCTTCACTAGGCATTAATTTAACTTAAATACAAGTTGAGAATCCTTATTCAAAATTCTTGGGAACAGAAGTGTTTTGGATTTTGGATTTCAGGGGGATTTTGGAATACCCACATTTGCATATACATAGATAATGAGATATCTTGGAGATGGGACCCAAGTCTAAACACAAAATTCATGTATTTCATATATACCTCATAAAGGTAATTGTATGAAATTACCATAAAGGTAATTTCATACAATATCTTTTAATATTTTTATATAGCCTATATAGTGTACCATTATATTTTGTTTACATGCTCCACTTGTCTGAAAACCAGGGCTCAATGGTTTGAGAAAAGTGCAAAAAGGCACAGATGAAAATATGTTTTTAGAATCATAGAATCAAAGAGTAGGAAGAAACCACATGGGCCATCCAGTTCAATCCCCTGCCAAGAAATAGGAAATCACATTCAAAGCACCCCAACAGATGGCCATCCAGCCTCTGTTTAAAAGCCTCCAAAGGAGGAGCCTCCAGCACATTCTGGGGCAGAGAGTTCCACCGCTGAACAGCTCTCCTTGCAGTTAGGAAGTTCTTCCTCATGTTCAGGTGGAATCTTCTTTCCTGTAGTTTGAAGCCATTGTTCTGTTGTGTCTTAGTCTCCAGGGCAGTAGAAAACAAGCTTGCTCCCTCCTTGCTATGACTTCCTCTCACATATTTATCCATGGCCCTCATCATGTCTCCTCTCAGCCTTCTCTTCTGAAAGCTAAACATGCCCAGCTCTTTAAGATGCTCCTCATAGGGCTTGTTCTCCAGACCCTTGATCATTTTAGTCACCCTCCTCTGGACACTTTCCAACTTGTCAATATCTCCCCTCAATTGTGGTGCCTAGAATTGGGCACAGTATTCCAGGTGTGGTCTGACTAAGGCAGAATAGAGGGGTGACGACTTCCCTGAATTTAGACACTATACTCCTATTTATGCAGACCAAAATCCCATTGCCTTTTTAGATGCCGCATTACATTGTTGGCTTATGTTTAACTTGTTGTCCATAAGGACTCCAAGATCTTTTTCCCATGTACTTCTGTTAAGCCAGATACACCCCCCCCCCCCATTCTGTACCTTTGCATTTCATTTTGCCTGCCTAAGTGGAGTATCTGACACTTGTCCCTGTTGAACTTCATTTTGTTAGTTTTGGCCCATCTCTCTAATCTTCATGCCTTTGAAGTCGTGCTGGTTTGTCTGTACCAGGAGCTCCAACTTTATTTTCTTTCTATTAAGTATTTGCATGCATTCCAAAGTTTCAGGGATTCTGCAAAAAGGTGGCTTCCTTTGGTTTGCAGTCATAGGACAAGCCACCTGTCTATCATTGTTAAGTTTGGATCTGCCCCTTCTCCCAGGGAGATGGGAAGGGAAGAGGGGGCCATTTTTAGTTAGTCTTAGTGAGGAAAACTAAGTTAGAGGATGTGGACAAGCTTCACCTGCACAAAGCTTCATTTCTTAAGACCATCCAGGGAAACTGAAGTCCAGGAAATTCCAAGGACATTCCGGGGGAAAATTCCCAAAGCTTTGTCTGGGAGCTTGCAGCCTCTCAGCCTTACAGCATCTGAGGGAAACAGCCCTAAAGTCTTAAAGAACTTCCAGAGGGAAAACAGCTTTACAGACCCAAAGAACTCCAGCTGGAGAATTTACAAGCTTTGTCTGGTAGGTTTACTCGGTACCAAGACGCAGTTTGGAATGGGTAGTAGATCCCACACCAACAAAACTTAGATTACAGACAGCCTGGGAGAGGTTAAAGGGGGTTTTTCCTCTCAAAGTATAAGAACAATTAACGAAGACAGTTGCCTGT